ATCAATTTAGACAAGTGTGTCGGGTAAGCGTCATCTAATAATGATACAATATCTATAAAAAAAAATTAATCGGGACACTTTCTGTTTTTGATATTGCTACCATGCAAGTAAACACTTCACTGTACTGTTTTCACCTCCTGTATCCTGTGCATGTGACAAATAACCATAGATTTTATTTGATATAGTCTGTGTTTACCACATGGCCTCACATGTGAATCCTTAAAGAGATGGGTGGGGCTAAGGCTTAAGAGGGTGTGAACAATGCTGAATGGGTGTAGACAAAGATGAGCGCTCCAGTAGGTGTACCAAAACATTCAAGGTCCATTTTCTCAAAAGTGAGGTTACAAGTTTATCAACTTTCAAAGCAGAATTACTTTCCCATTGTTCCTCAACTGCAGAGTATGATAAATAAAAAATAAAAAATATGATATATGATATACAGTGGGGAGAACAAGTATTTGATACACTGCCGATTGTGCAGGTTTTCCTACTTACAAAGCATGTACAGGTCTGTAATTTGTATCATAGGTACACTTCAACTGTGAGAGATGGAATCTCAAAAATCCAGAAAATCACATTGTATGATTTTTAAGTAATTCATTTGCATTTTATTGCATGACATAAGTATTTGATCACCTGCCAACCAGTAAGAATTCCGGCTCTCACAGACCTGTTAGTTTTTCTTTAAGAAGCCCTCCTGTTCTCCACTCATTACCTGTATTAACTGCACTTGTTTGAACTCGTTCCCTGTATAAAAGACACCTGTCCACACACTCAATCAAACACCAACCTCTCCACAATGGCCAAGACCAGAGAGCTGTGTAAGGACATCAAGGATAAAATTGTAGACCTGCACAAGGCTGGGATGGGCTACAGGACAATAGGCAAGCAGCTTGGTGAGAAGGCAACAACTGTTGGAGCAATTATTAGAAAATGGAAGAAGTTCAAGATGACGGTCAATCACCCTCGGTCTGGGGCTCCATGCAAGATCTCACCTCGTGGGGCATCAATGATCATGAGGAAGGTGAGGGATCATCCCAGAACTACACGGCAGGAGAGCTGTGACCACAGTCTCAAAGAAAACCATTAGTAACACACTACGGCGTCATCGATTAAAATCCTGCAGCGCACGCAAGGTCCCCCTGCTCAAGCCAGCGCATGTCCAGGCCCGTCTGAAGTTTGCCAATGACCATCTGGATGATCCAGAGGAGGAATGGGAGAAGGTCATGTGGTCTGATGAGACAAAAAAAGAGCTTTTTGGTCTAAACGTTTTGGTCTAAACGTGTTTGGAGGAAGAAGAAGGATGAGTACAACCCTAAGAACACCATCCCAACCGTGAAGCATGGAGGTTGAAACATCATTCTTTGGGGATGCTTTTCTGCAAAGGGGACAGGACGACTGCACCGTATTGAGGGGAGGATGGATGGGGCCATGTATCGCGAGATCTTGGCCAACAACCTCCTTCCCTCAGTAAGAGCATTGAAGATGGGTCGTGGCTGGGTCTTCCAGCATGACAACGACCCGAAACACACAGCCAGGGAAACAAAGGAGTGGCTCCGTAAGAAGCATCTCAAGGTCCTGGAGTGGCCTAGCCAGTCTCCAGACCTGAACCCAATAGAACATCTTTGGAGGGAGCTGAAAGTCCGTATTGCCCAGCGACAGCCCCGAAACCTGAAGGATCTGGAGAAGGGCCAAAATCCCTGCTGCAGTGTGTGCAAACCTGGTCAAGACCTACAGGAAATGTATGATCTCTGTAATTGCAAACAAAGTTTCTGTACCAAAAATTTTGTTCTGCTTTTCTGATGTATCAAATACTTATGTCATGCAATAAAATGCAAATTAATTACTTAAAAATCATACAATGTGATTTTCTGGATTTTTGTTTTAGATTCCGTCTCTCACAGTTGAAGTGTACCTATAATAAAAATTACAGACCTCTACATGCTTTGTAAGTAGGAAAACCTGCAAAATCGGCAGTGTATCAAATACTTGTTCTCCCCACTGTACCATTTTCTAGCTCTGAGTCTCTACTTTTATCCAATGTAAAAAACACAATTTCAAATTTTGCTACATAAGACCGAATCGAGGTGGTCGGTCACATTTGGAACTTTACGTAGAAGAGCTGCTCTCTTCTCCCGTTCCGTCCAGTGTGGCTCGCAAACATTATTGCTGTCCTTGTTATGAAATTGTACCTTTAAAGCAGAACTTCCACCAATATTTTGTAGTGTCTCTGGCAATGGAAAAGCCCCCAATCAGCAGTCAGATGTGGAATCAGAAAGATGTGAGTTGTGTCCACTCTGGAAGCCTACACAGCTCTGCCAGTAAAATACACATTTCCTACAGCGCAATTGATAACAATGATCCAGCAAATGACATTGGTTGTCCCGCAATTAATAAAGCCTATGATTTAATATTGCGAAAGCCATTTTACAAACATCTTAATGCTGAAGGTGACGTGCAGATATAGCCTACGAATATTAGGACAGGGATAGGGTAGGCATACCTCTAGTTGGTGCGAGGCGTCTCTGTGCGCACATTTATCTGACTTGTATCTCATTTACATTTAAGTCATTTAGCAGACGCTCTTATCCAGAGCGACTTACAGTTAGTGAATGCATACATTATTTTATTTTTTTCATACTGCCCCCCCGTGGGAATCGAACCCACAACCCTGGCGTTGCAAACGCCATGCTCTACCAACTGAGCTACATCCCTGCCGGCCATTCCATCCCCTACCCTAGACGACGCTGGGCCAATTGTGCGCCGCCCCATGGGTCTCCCGGTCGGGGCCGGCTAAGACAGAGCATGGATTCGAACCAGGATCTCTAGTGGCACAGCTAGCACTGCAATGCAGTGCCTTAGACCACTGCACCACTCGGGAGACTCGATATCAATGTCATATGCAGTTACATGCATAAAAGTTATTTAGGCTGAAGGAAAGGCTGCATCAATTCAGTCACAACAGATTAGAGGTATTTTCGTAATAAGGCAAAAAAATAAAAATAAAATAATAATATATATATATATATACACACACACACAGTGGGGAAAAAAAGTATTTAGTCAGCCACCAATTGTGCAAGTTCTCCCACTTAAAAAGATGAGGCCTGTAATTTTCATCATAGGTACACGTCAACTATGACAGACAAATTGAGAAAAAAAATTCCAGAAAATCACATTGTAGGATTTTTAATGAATTTATTTGCAAATGATGGTGGAAAATAAGTATTTGGTCACCTACAAACAAGCAAGATTTCTGGCTCTCACAGACCTGTAACTTCTTTTTTAAGAGGCTCCTCTTTCCTCCAATCGTTACCTGTATTAATGGCACCTGTTTGAACTTGTTATCAGTATAAAAGACACCTGTCCACAACCTCAAACAGTCACACTCCAAACTCCACTATGGCCAAGACCAAAGAGCTGTCAAAGGACACCAGAAACAAAATTGTAGACCTGCACCAGGCTGGGAAGACTGAATCTGCAATAGGTAAGCAGCTTGGTTTGAAGAAATCAACTGTGGGAGCAATTATTAGGAAATGGAAGACATACAAAACAACTGATAATCTCCCTCGATCTGGGGCTCCATGCAAGATCTCACCCCGTGGGGTCAAAATGATCACAAGAACGGTGAGCAAAAATCCCAGAACCACACGGGGGGACCTAGTGAATGACCTGCAGAGAGCTGGGACCAAAGTAACAAAGCCTACCATCAGTAACACACTACGCCGCCAGGGACTCAAATCATGCAGTGCCAGACGTGTCCCCCTGCTTAAGCCAGTACATGTCCAGGCCCGTCTGAAGTTTGCTAGAGTGCATTTGGATGATCCAAAAGAGGATTGGGAGAATGTCATATGGTCAGATGAAACCAAAATAGAACTTTTTGGTAAAAACTCAACTCGTCGTGTTTGGAGGACAAAGAATGCTGAGTTGCATCCAAAGAACACCATACCTACTGTGAAGCATGGGGGTGGAAACATCATGCTTTGGGGCTGTTTTTCTGCAAAGGGACTAGGACGACTGATCCGTGTAAAGGAAAGAATGAATGGGGCCATGTATCATGAGATTTTGAGTGAAAACCTCCTTCCATCAGCAAGGGAATTGAAGATGAAACGTGGCTGGGTCTTTCAGCATGACAATGATCCCAAACACACCGCCCGGGCAACGAAGGAGTGGCTTCGTAAGAAGCATTTCAAGGTCCTGGAGTGGCCTAGCCAGTCTCCAGATCTCAACCACATAGAAAATCTTTGGAGGGAGTTGAAAGTCCGTGTTGCCCAGCGACAGCCCCAAAACATCACTGCTCTAGTGGAGATCTGCATGGAGGAATGGGCCAAAATACCAGCAACAGTGTGTGAAAACCTTGTGAAGACTTACAGAAAACGTTTGACCTGTGTCATTGCCAACAAAGTGTATATAACAAAGTATTGAGAAACTTTTGTTATTGACCAAATACTTATTTTCCACCATAATTTGCAAATAAATTCATAAAAAATCCTACAATGTGATTTTCTGGATTTTTTTTTCTGATTTTGTCTGTCATAGTTGACGTGTACCTATGATGAAAATTACAGGCCTCTCTCATCTTTTTAAGTGGGAGAACTTGCACAATTGGTGGCTGACTAAATACTTTTTTTCCCCACTGTGTGTGTGTGTATATATATATATAAAAACGTTAGTGCGATTCATAATGTTTGAATCAGTTCTTACCGATGCATGCTTCAGTTAGATAGATTTGGGATTCGCAGACCGATGCGCTCGCATCTTAAACATTTGAACCAGGGAACGATGCATATAGGTGAATCATTCCATTCCTAAATAATAGCGGTACAGTTACTTCAGCTGGTACAGACTTGAATAGCGCAGATTTACATAGACTGGTAATGGTAATTTGATGACTAACCTCTCTCAATATTTGCTATTCAATCTCAAGACAGAAGTCTTAGATGAGAGTTCATAGCTAACACATATGGATATGCTTTGTTTTGGATATGCTGCTTCCGTACCTGGATGTACCCTTGGTGATCAATGAGAAGGTTTTCAGGCTTCAGGTCTCTGTAGATAAGGTCTAGCGAGTGGAGGTACTCAAACGTGAGTACTATCTGACCTGCATAAAATCGTGCGTGATGTTCACTAAAGACAGAAGAAAAATGTAGGTTGACGTGATCTCAAACAGGTGAACAAAATGAAACCAATGACAACACTGCACAATACCTTATCATACATAGATTGCACCCATTATTTTGGACCTCAAGTACAGTGAGGGAAATAAGTATTTGACCCATCTGCAAAACATGACTTAGTGCTTGGTGGCAAAACCCTTGTTGGCAATCACAGAGGACAGACATTTCTTGTAGTTGGCCACCAGGTTTGCACACATCTCAGGAGGGATTTTGTCCCACTCCTCTTTGTAGATCTTCTCCAAGTCATTAAGGTTTCGAGCCTGACGTTTGGCAACTCGAACCTTCAGCTCCCTCCACAGATTTTCTATGGGATTAAGGTCTGGAGACTGGCTTGGCCACTCCAGGACCTTAATGTGCTTCTTCTTGAGCCACTCCTTTGTTGCCTTGGCCGTGTGTTTTGGGTCATTGTCATGCTGGAATACCCATCCACGACCCATTTGCAATGCCCTGATGAGGGAAGGAGGGAGGTTCTCACCCAAGATTTGACAGTACATGGTGCCGTCCATCGTCCCTTTGATGCGGTGAGGTTGTCCTGTCCCCTTAGCAGAAAAAGACCCCCAAAGCATAGTGTTTCCACCTCCATGTTTGACGGTGGGGATGGTGTTCTTGGAGTCATAGGCAGCATTCCTCCTCCTCCAAACACGGCGAGTTGAGTTGATGCCAAAGAGCTCGATTTTGGTCTCATCTGACCACAACACTTGCACCCAGTTCTCTTCTGAATCATTCAGATGTCCATTGGCAAACTTCAGACGGGCCTGTATATGTGCTTTCTTGAGCAGGGGGACCTTGCGGGCGCTGCAGGATTTCAGTCCTTCACGGCGTAGTGTGTTACCAATTGTTTTCTTGGTGACTATGGTCCCAGCTGCCTTGAGATCATTGACAAGATCCTCCCGTGTAGTTCTGGGCTGATTCCTCACCGTTCTCATGATCATTGCAACTCCACGAGGTGAGATCTTGCATAGAGCCCCAGGCCGAGGGAGATTGACAGTTCTTTTGTGTTTCTTCCATTTGCGAATAATCGCACCAACTGTTGTCACCTTCTCACCAAGCTGCTTGGCGATGGTCTTGTAGCCCATTCCAGCCTTGTGTAGGTCTACAATCTTGTCCCCGACATCCTTGCAGAGCTCTTTGGTCTTGGCCATGGTGGAGAGTTTGGAATCTGATTGATTGATTGCTTCTGTGGACAGGTGTCTTTTATACAGGTAACAAACTGAGATTAGGAGCACTCCCTTTAAGAGTGTGCTCCTAATCTCAGCTCGTTACCTGTATAAAAGACACCTGGGAGCCAGAAATCTTTCTGATTGAGAGGGGGTCAAATACTTATTTCCCTCATTAAAATGCAAATCAATTTATAACATTTTTGACATGCGTTTTTCTGGATTTTGTTGTTATTCTGTCTCTCACTGTTAAAATAATCCTACCATTTAAATTATAGACTGATCATTTCTTTGTCAGTGGGCAAACGTACAAAATCAGCAGGGGATCAAATACTTTTTCCCCTCACTGTATATAGACATACTATGTTATGATCACAGTGTCACAGCTTTTTCGATTTACCTGAACCTCCCGATGCGTCTCAGATGCGAGAACATTTCTCCCCCTGGAACGTACTCCATCACCATGTAGAGGTTGGTGTTGTCCTATGGTTCAAATAAAGTTAGAACACACAGATGGATAACATTAAAAGTGCCTTCGGAAAGTGTTCACATCCCTAGACTGTCCTCCTTTTGTTGTGTTACAGCCTGAATTTAAAATGGATTAAATTTAGATTTTGTGTCACTGGCCTACACACACACACACACACACACACACACACACACACACACACACACAATACCACATAATGTCAAAGTGGAATTATGTTTTCAGAAATTTTTACAGATAAATTAAAAATGAAAAGCTGAAATGTCTTGAGTAAATAAGTATTCAACCCATTTGTTATGGCAAGCCTAAATAAGTTCAGGAGTAAAAATGTGCTGAACAACTCACATAAGTTGCACAGACTCATTGTGTGCAATAATAGCATTTAACATGATTTTTGAATGACTACCACATCTCTTTAAACCACACATACAATTATCTGTAAGGTCCCTCAGTCGAGCAGTGAATTTCAAACACAGACTCTACCACAATGACCAGGGAGGTTTTCCAATGCCTCGCATAGGGCACACATTTGTAGTTGGATAAAAAAAAAGAAAAGAAGACATTGAATATCCCTTTGAGCATGGTGAAGTTATTAATTACAATTTGGATGGTGTGTCAATACACCCAGTCACTAGAAAGATACAGGTGTCCTTCCTAACTCTGTTACCGGAGAGGAAGGGAACCGCTCAGGGATTCACCATTAGGGCAATGGCTGTGATAGGAGAACACTGAGGATGGATCAACATTGTAGTTACTCCACAATACTAACATCTCAGTCCAAAATCATGGGCATTCATATGGAGTTGGTCCCTCCTTTGCTGGTCCCCAGCCTCCACTCTTCTGGGAAGGCTTTCCACTGGAACTCGGTAGTGAGTGTTGCAACCGAGGACAGACGATTTTTACGCACTTCAGCACTCTGCGGTCCCGTTAGTGAGCTTGTGTGGTCTACCACTTCGCGGCTGAGCCATTGTTGCTTCTAGACATTTCCACATCACAATAACAGCACTAGCAGGGCAGCTCTAGCAGGGCAGAAAATTGATAAACTGATATTTTGGAAAGGTGGCACCCTATGACGGTGCCACGTTGAAAGTCATTGAGCTCTTCATTAAGGCCATTCTACTGCCAATGTTTGTCTATGGAGATTGCATGGCTGTGTGCTCGATTTTATACACCTGTCAGCAACGGGTGTGGCTGAAATAGCCGAATCCACTAATTTGAAGGGGTGTTGACAAACTACATATAAAAACACAAAAGTATTCCAAAACATGCATCCTGTTTGCAATAAGGCACTAAAGTAAAACTGCTAAAAATGTGGCAAAGAAATGAACTTCCATCTCCTGAATTTGTTTGGGGCAAATCCAACAACACGTTACTGAGTACCATTCTCCATACACGGTTAAGTTATAGTTCATAAGAAAATTAGTCAATTGAAATAAATTAATTACACCCTAATTTATGGATTTCACATGACTGGGAATACAGATATGCATCTGTTGGTCACAGATGCCTTAAAAAAAAGGTAGGGACATGGATCAGAAAACCAGTCAGTATCTATCTGGTGTGACCAAAATTTGCCTCATGCAGCATGACAAATCTCCTTCACATAGAGTTGATAACACTGTTGATTGTGGCCTGTGGAATGTTGTCCCACTCTTCTGGATATTGGCAGGAACTGGAACACACTGTTGTACACGTTGATCCAGAGCATCCCAAACATGCTCAATGGGTGTCATGTCTGGTGAGTATGCAGGCCATGAAAGAACTGGGACATTTTCAGCTTCAAGTAATTGTATACAGATCCTTGCGACATGGGGCCGTGCATTATCATGCTGAAACATGAGGTGATGACGGCGGATAACAGCGCGACAATGGGCCTCAGGATCTCGTCACAGTATCTCTGTGCATTGAAATAGCCATCGATAAAATGCAATTGTGTTTGTTGTCCGTAGTTTATGCCTGCCCATACCATAACCCCACCGCCACCCTGGGTCACAACTCTGACATCAGCAAACTGCTCACCCACACGATGCTATACACGCTGTCTGCCATCTGCCCGGTACAGTTGAAACAGAGATTCATCCGCGAAGAGCACACTTCTCCAGTGTGCCAGTGGCCATCGAAGATGAGCATTTGCCCACTGAAATCGGTTACGACGTCTAACTGCAGTCAGGTGAAGACCCTGGTGAGGATGACAAGCACGTTTGTGCAGAAATTCTTCGGTTGTGTCAGGTGGATGGATTATCTTGCCAAAAGATAAATGCTCACTAACAGAGAAATACGCTTTTTACGCGTATGGACAATTTGTGGAATCTTTTCTTTCAGCTCATGAAACCAACATTTCACATGTTGCGTTTATATTTTTGTTCAGTGTATTTTCAAGCATGGTGGTGGCTGCATAATGTTATGGGTATGCTCGTCATCGGCAAGAACTAGGGAGTTTTTTTTTTATATCAAAAGAAACGGAATAGAGCTAAGCACAGGCAAAATCCTAGAGGAAAACCTGGTTCAGTCCGCTTTCCAACATTCACTGGGAGACAAATTCACCTTTCAGCAGGACAATAAAGTAAAACTCAAGGGCAAATATACAATGGAGTTGCTTACCAAGATGACAGTGAATGTTTCTGAGTGGCCTAGTTACCAGTTTTGACTTAAGTCTTCTTGGAAATCTATGGCAAGATTTGAAAATGGCTGTCTAGCAATGATCCAACAACCAACTTGAAAGAGCTTGAAGAATTTGTTTAATGACGTACAAATATTGTACAATCCAGGTGTGCAAAGCTCTTAAGAGACTTACCCAGAAAGACTCAGCTGTAATTGCTGCTAAAGGTGCTTGCTTCTAACACGTATTGACTCAGGGGTGTGAATACTTACGTAAATTAGATATTTTTGTATTACATTTGCAAAAAATTCTAAAAACATGTTTTCGCTTTGTCATTATAATGTAGTGTATAACAAATATCTATTTAATCCATTTTGAATTCAGGCTGTAACACAACAAAATGTGGAATAAATCAAGGGGTATGAATACTTTCTGAAGGCACTGTACCTCAGGTTGAAGTTGCTATGATACCCTTCGTCAAAATTCACAAAGACTGTTCCAACATATTGGCAAGGAAACCGCTCATTTTCACCAATTGTACGGTGCCCATTTCAGAACATCCTACAGCTGCTGAAGTACCTTGAAGGAATACTCCAGTCTGACGAGAAAGGGGAAAGACACCGCCTGCAGTATTCTCTTTTCGTTTAGAGTGTGTTCTATCTGCTTCAGCTTCACCACCTGTTAGAGCAATGAGAGAGGAAAAGAGGAAGGCATACCGATGAGGAGGGGGGCACAATAGTACAGAGAAAAGCAGGGTCCAACACAAACTTTTTTTTCCCCTCACTGGCCCGGTCGGGCCAGTTGGCCAAAAATCTACTGGCCCGAACAGAATTTTCTACTAGACTGGACATGGGATAGTTTATAAATGCATTGGAGTCATATACATTTTAGTCATTTAGCAGACGCTCTTATCCAGAGCGACTTACAGTTAGTGAGTGCATACATTTTTCATTTAGGGCCTATAGGTTAGCATGCAGTCTCTCTATATTCAGCATTTGGTTACATCTGGTTTGTATTAAAAAGGAGTGTAATACTTTTTTAAAAAGTAATTACTATATTCTTTAGAACTGCATTGTATTAATTAGATTCATTTTTGTTTTTGAAATACAAAGTATATTGTTGTCCTTTTAATACTTTTTTTTTCATCAACATTTGATCATACAGTGGGGAGAACAAGTATTTGATACACTGCCGATTTTGCAGGTTTTCCTACTTACAAAGCATGTAGAGGTCTGTAATTTTTTATCATAGGTACACTTCCACTGTGCGAGACGGAATCTAAAAACAGTCTCCAGACCTGAACCCAATATGAAAATCTTTGGAGGGAGCAGAAAGTCCGTATTGCCCAGCGACAGCCCCGAAACCTGAAGGATCTGGAGAAGGTCTGTATGGAGGAGTGGGCCAAAATCCCTGCTGCAGTGTGTGCAAACCTGGTCAAGACCTACAGGAAACGTATGATCTCTGTAATTGCAAACAAAGGTTTCTGTACCAAATATTATGTTCTGCTTTTCTGATGTATCAAATACTTACGTCATGCAATAAAATACACATTAATTACTTAAAATCATACAATGTGATTTTCTGGATTTTTGTTTTAGATTCTGTCTCTCACAGTTGAAGTGTACCTATGATAAAAATGACAGACCTCTACATGCTTTGTAAGTAGGAAAACCTGCAAAATCAGCAGTGTATCAAATACTTGTTCTCCCCACTGTACCAAATACTTGTTCTCCCCACTGTACATACACACACACACCTGTTCTGAAAGGCCCCTGAGTCTGCAACACCACTAAGTAAGGGGCACCACCAAGCAAGCGGCACCATGAAGACCAAGGAGCTCTTCAAACAGGTCAGGGACAAAGTTGTGGAGAAGTACAGATCAGGGTTGGGTTCAAAAAAAAATATCTGACACTTTGAACATCCCACAGAGCACCATTAAATCCATTATTAAAAAATGATAAGCATATGGCACCACAACAAACTTGCGAAGAGAGGGCCGCCCACCAAAACTCACAGACCAGGCAAGGAGGGCATTAATCAGAGGCAACAAAAGAGAATGGTTGAGGGGCAGCTCTCTGGGAACTGTGGGGAGGATCGTGGGCTGGTGGCCTGGAGGTTCAGAGCGTGGGCCGGTGGCTGATAGGTCGCTGGTTTGGGTCCCCGTTTTTGACCATGGGAGATCTGTCGACGTGCCCTTGAGCAGGCCATTGACCCTGGTTGCTTCTGTGTGTCGCTCTGGATGGGAGTCTGTTAGATGACTGAATCTAATGTAAATGTTGAGCGGCTTCACTGCAAGTAGATTGTATGTTGACATTTTTTTTTAAAGCCATGAGGTCGAAGGAATTGTCTGTAGAGCTCCGAGACAGGATTGTGTCAAGGCACAGATCTGTGGAAGGGTACCAAAAGATTTCTGCAGCATTGAAGATCCCCAAGAACAGTGTCCTCCATAATTCTTAAATTTAATAAGTTTTGAAACACCAAGACTCTTCCTAGAGCTGGCTGCCCAGCCAAACTGAGCAATCAGGGGAGAAGGGCCTCTCAGACCATGAGAAACAAGATTCTCTGGTCTGATGAAACCAAGATTGAACTCTTTGGCCTGAATGCCAAGTGTCACATCTGGATTAAACCAGGCACCATCCCTACAGTGAAGCATGGTTGTGGCAGCATCATGCTGTGGGGATGTTTTTCTGCGGCATGGACTGGGAAACTAGTCAGGCACGAGGGAAAGATTAATGTACAGAGATCCTTGATGAAAACCTGCTCCAGAGTACTCAGGACCTCAGACTGAGGTGAAGGTTCAACCAGAGCAACGACCCCAAGCACACAGCCAAGAAAACGCAGGAGTGGCTTCGTGACAAGTCTCTGAATGTCCTTGAGCGGCCCAGCCAGAGCCCGGACTTGAACCAGATCGAACATCTCTGGAGAGACTTGAAAATAGTTTTGCAGCGATGCTCCCCATCCAACCTGACAGAGCTTGAGAGGATCTGCATAGAAGAAAAATGGGAGAAACTCCCCAAATACAGGTGTGCCAAGCTTGTAGCGTCATACCCAAGAAGACCCGAGGTGCTTCAACAAAGTACTGAGTAAAGGGTCTGAATACTTATGTACATTTGATATTTCTGTTTTTTTACCTGTTTTGCTTTGTCATTATGGGGTATTGTGTGTAGATTGATGAGGATTATGTATATTTTTTAATCCATTTTAGAATAAAGCTGTAACGTAACAAAATGTGGAAAAAGTCAAGTGGTCTGAATACTTTCCGAATGCACTGTATAAACTCTTGACCAATCAGAACTACATAAAATACCACAACAGCAGACAGCACCCTGAAAACAACTGTGCACTATTATCCTGTGTTTTTGGCTAAAAGTAGCCTGCTAACAGCAACAATGAAAGAAAAGTCTGATGATTGCCATAATAGAACTGGTGCGCGCCTGTAGGCTAATCGCTATTTAAAGTGGGGAAAATAGCACAGTTGTCAGAGCTGACCGCAGGGATAAATACACTATGATAGTAAAATGCCTTTTCATTTAAAACGCAACCCATAAACCCATAGCCCTTGAGAAAATGAGCTTGAAAAATAAAAATAACATTCACTGTGCGTCCTCGGAACTACAATGTACTGTCAAATCCACGTGACGTCTGAAGCAGCAGTAGCCCAATGCGCTGACCATCCTATGTGTGTATGATCTAGTTCAGAGGTATCCAAACTTTTTCAGTCAGGCCCCCCTTCCAGCTTTGAGGAACATCCCGCGGCCCCCTGCGTGCGCGCGCCACGTCTATTTCTATGGGCACCCATAGTTTGGGAACCACTGATCTAGACAAATATTCCAGCGCAATAACAAGGTACTGTATGTCTCATAACCGTTTTGCAGTTTCACTTCAAAAAATGGCAGACAAAAATAAATAAAAAAGCCTTGTCCTTAGTTGTTAAAAATGTGCCCTTAGTTGTTAATTTACTCGAATTCTAAAGGCTAAACCTAGAATCGAGCCAACATCTTAAGTAGCTGAACCTATCATTACTACAACCTTGTGAAAAACTGATGTTTTCATGCTTATCAAAAAAAACTAATCAAAGGAGAGCCTTTCATTTGACAGCCTGCACATGCACATTTCGGCGCAAGAACCGTTAGACTCGATGACGTGTTTGTGCGCATTAGCTATGCTAGCTAACGTCGCCTACAAGTGTGATCGGAGATTTCTATTGGAGAAGCAGTTTCTGCATATCTTCATACTGTACGGTCTTTGCATTTACTTTTGAACTAGTGGAAACCCACGCAACATTTTGAGCACAATCACTAGATAAAGTCAGCCATTGTCTACTAATGGATCAAGAAACCACAGAACTTCACTGTACTAGGTGATCTAACTGGCCTAAGTTTTGTTTAGTTTCCTTTCAAAACAAACCAGGGTCATGTTCATTAGGCACTAAAAGGAAGAAAGCTGACTGAAACAGGGAGGGACTATGTGGACTTATCCAATAAGAAACGCTCATTTAAATTTTTGTGCCCCAATGCATGGTACCTACTTTCTGTTTGTCCAGGATCTTCATGGCGTAGAACTGTTCTGTTCCTTTATGTTTCACCAACATAACTCTACCGAAAGAGCCAGTGCCCAGAGTCTTCAGCCTGTCAAAGTCATCCAGGCCAGTTGTGCTCTGAGGAGTAAAACACACCGTGAAATGTGACAGCAAACAGTGAGCCGACCATAAGGCCAGGATTCAATACAGGGCAGCGCACTATAATGGACGTTTAAAGGTAATTTGCTCGAGCCAGCATGCACAGTGTTTACCGTGAATGCAATCTCCATGAACGTCAGGGAAAATGCCTTTAATTAAAAAGGCACATTGTAGGTTGTCTAGTGGCGCAGTGGTCTAAGGCACTGCGTCTCAGTGCTAGAGACCCTGGTTCAATTCCAGGCTGTATCACAATCCGGCTGTGATTGGGAGTCCCATAGGAAAGCGCACAATTGGCCCAGCTTTGGCTGGGGTAGGCAGTCATTGTAAATAAGAATTTGTTCTTAACTGTCTTGCCTAGTTAAATAAAGGTTCAATAAAAAATAAGTGTGTTGCTCTATAATGTGCCTTACCTTATTTTCGTTGGCTTTATTTTCAATTCCATTTTCCCTATCAAAACATAGGCTATTTAACCTATCATTCGACCATGGTAACTTTATCAATGATACAGATGTTTTGGACTAATACTTTTATTAGAAGGCATAACATCAGTGCACACGTTTCACACTCCAGATTGAGCAAATCAGCCTCTTGGTCCACAACAGATCGACATCAGAGGATGCATAAGGTAGTGGTTTACTGTCCATTTTGCATATATTCTGATAGTGGTAGTCCTATATTCACAGCCCTGAACATTCAGGAAATGAAAGAACAACTCACACAATTAGAGTGGGAAACAATAATTTTGTGCTTTCTCTTACCTGTGGTGGACACTCCCATTTTCGTAAAAAATCTTCTTCGGCTTTGGCTAAGAACTCTTTCACTGAAAGGTGGAAAAAGAAAACAATTAGCCCATATGAACACAGGTTAGACAGGCCTATAGACTTAGTCTTTTTATTGCTGGGTATTACACTACCCAAATAAATCGATAGCAAAAGTCAGGCCAAAGCCAAGTACCAGGCAGTGGTACTGTACTTAACAATAAAGAAAGAAAACAACCTTTATTAGCTACAAACTCAAACCAAACACTTAGTAGGCAAGCAATTTACGACAAAGATGCAGAGAGCTCTCACAGGCTGCATAGATGGCAAATTCTAAGAGAGACTGTTGTGCATCCCTTTCAGAGGGTTAACACTATTGTGCAGGCATAGAAAGAAAGTGATTGGTGGGAACCACAGCAGACATGTGCGGTCTATAGTCACAGAGGAATGACAATGTTATTTGCCAAATCCACGAGTCATGATGATCCGAGTCATGATGTTACTATTGAATAACAGAAATGCTAACCATTTGCAACATTTGTTACTGTTTTAGCGGCAGCCAGGTTGTAGGCCTAGCTTATTTGTAGGGTGACATTTAGGCTGTAGACAGTGTCTGCACTCTCTGTGACTTAGGACAGCTCATGGAAGAGAATGCATATACCAAAAGTCTCTATAGTTCGCCAAGGGTTTTCAGGAACATTCACCCACATGGATGGAAATTATGAAGAGGATAAAGAGAAGGAAGAAAGGTTTATGTAAAGAAAATAACATAAGACACACTATTGACTGTGCGATTTCAAATAGACCAACTCAAATGGCCTAGCCTGAAACCATTGGAGTTGGAGTGAATCTCAGTTCCATTTAAGAAATAAAGTCCACAATCTTCACATTGCAAACCAACAACTCAATTAATTAATAAAACGTATGTTTATTCCCCAACTCGACTGGATTTGAGCCCAACTCCTGGCCAATATGTCTAGATAGTATTTTGTTCTAATCTATACTGAACAAAAATATAAATGCAACATGTAAAGTGTTGGTCCCATGTTTCATGAGCTGAAATAAAAGATCCCAGAAATGTTCCATACATACAAAAAGCTTTTTTCTCTCAAATGTTTTGCTAAAATTTGTTTACATCCCTGTTAGTGAGCATTTCTCCTTTGCCAAGATAATCCATCCACCTGACAGGTGTGGGATATCAAGAAACTGATTAAACAGCATGATCATTACACAGGTTCACCTTGTGCTAGGGACAATAAAAGGAGACTCTAAAATGTGCAGTTTTGTCACACAACGCCACACATTGTTGAGGGAGCGTGAAATTGGAATGCTGACTGCAGGAATGTCCACCAGAGCTGTTGCCAGAGTATTGAATGTTCATTTCTCTACCATAAGCTACAAGCTTGGCACACCTGTATTTGGGGAGTATATCCCATTCTTCTCTGCAGTTTGTTCTTCTGGAAGGTTCTCCCATCTCCACAGAGGAACTGGAGCGCTGTCACCTCCCTGACCAAGGCCCTTCTCCCCCGATTGCTCAGTTTGGCCAGGCGGCCAGCTCTAGGTAGAGTCTTGGTGGTTCCAAACTTCTTCCATTTAAGAATGATGGAGGCCACTGTGTTCTTGGGGACCTTCAATGCTGCAGACATTTTTTGGGAGTACCCTTCCCCAGATCTGTGCCTAGACACAATCCTCTCTCGGAGCTCTATGGACAATTCCTTTGACCTCACGGCTTGTTTTTTGCTCTGACATGAACTGTCAACTGTGGGACCTTATATAGACAGGTTTGTGCCTTTCCAAATCATGTCCAATCAAATGAATTAAACATTTATAAAAACCTGTTTTCGCTTTGTCATTATGGGGTATTTTGTGTAGATAGATTAAATAAAACATTTTCCTCATCAATTTTAGAATACGGCTGTAACGTAAGAAAATGTGGGAAAAGGGAAGGGGTGTAAATACTTTCCGAATGCACTGCGTATGGGGGTAAGGTGACTAGACAGCAGCGTAAATGATGATTGTATGTGAGTGTGTGCGCGTAGTCAGTATAAATGTGAGTGCATGTTATGTGTGTCAAATCAAAATGTTATTGGTCGCATACACATATTTAGCAGATGTTGTTGCTGGTGTGATCACGCTCTCCGTAGCCGACATGAGTAAGACCTTTAAACAGGTCAACATTCACAAGGCCGCAGGGCCAGACGGATTACCAGGACGTGTACTCAGAGCATGCGCTAACCAACTGAAAAGTGTCTTCACTGATATTTTCAACCTCTTCCTGACCGAGTCTGTAATACCAACATGTTTCAAGCAGACCACAATAGACCCTGTGCCCAAGAACACCAAAATAACCTGCCTAAATGACTACCGACCCATAGCACTCACATCTGTAGCCATGAAGTGGCTCACATCAACACCATTATCGCAGAAACCCAAAGCTCATCACTAAGCTAAGAACCCTGGGACTAAACACCTCCCTCTGCAACTGGATCCTGGACTTCCTGACGTGCCGCCCCCAGGTGGTAAGGGTAGGTAACAACACATCTGCCACGCTGATCCTCAACACGGGGGCCCCTCAGTGGTGTGTGCTCCATTCCTTTCCTGTACTCCCTATTCACTCATGATTGCATGGCCAGGCACGACTCCAACACCATCATTAAGTTTGCCGACGACACAACAGTGGTAGGCCTGATAAACGACAATGATGAGACAGCCTATAGGGAGGTCAGAGACCTGGTAGTGTGGTGCCAGGATAACAACCTCTCCCTCAACGTGATCAAGACAAAGGAGATGATCGTGGACTACAGGAAAAATGGGGGGCCGAGCAAGCCCCCATTCTCACCGACTGGGCTGTAGTGGAGCAAGTTGAGAGCTTCAAGTTCCTTGGTGTCCACATCTCCAACGAACTATCATTGTTCAAATACACCAAGACAGTCGTGAAGAGGGCACGACAACGCGTATTCCCACTCAAGATTTGGCATGACTCCTCAGATCCTCAAAAAGTTATACAGCTGCACCATTGAGAGCATCCTGACTGGTTGCATCACCGCCTGGTATGGCAACTGCTCGGCCTCCGACCACAAGGCACTAGAGGGTAGTGCGTACGGCCCAGTACATCACTGGGGCCAAGCTTCCTGCCATCCAGGACCTCTATAGCAGGTGGTGTCAGAGGAAGGCCCTAAAACTGGCCAAAAACTCCAACCACCCTAGTCATAGACTGTTCTCTCTGCTACCGCACGCCAAGTCTGATCCAAAAGGCTTCTTAAGAGCTTCTACCCCCAAGCCATAAGACTCCTGAACAGCTAATCAAATGGCTACCCGGACTATTTGCATTGACAACCACCCCCACACACATTTTTACGCTGCGGCTACTCTCTGTTTATTATCTATGCGTAGTCACTTTAACTCTACCTCCATATACATATTACTTCAATTACCTCTACTAACCTGTGCCGCCGCACATTGACTCTGTACTGGTACCCGCAGGATATAGCCTCGTTACTGTTATTTTATTTTTGCTCTTTAATTATTTATTTGTTATTTTGTATTTATTAAATTTTTTACTTCAGTTCATTTTTGTAAATACTTTCTTAACACTTATTTTTCTTAAAACTGCATTGTTGGTTAAGGGCTTGTAAGTACGCATTTCACTGTAAGGTTGTACCTGTTGTATGCTGCGCATGTGACAAATACAATTTGATTTGATTTGTGTAACAAAATGCTTGTGTGTTGGAGTGTCAGTGTACGCGAGTGTGTATAGTCCTGATAGTGTGCATAGAGAAAATAAAATACAAGGGTCACCTCAAGCTCACCTAGAACTTGCTGTGAAGCTGTCTCTGTGTGTGTGTATGTGTACTGTGTTTGTGTGTCATGACTGTCAACACATCTTGCTTTAACAATTTAACATTTGCTAAACAGCACCACCATTAGGCTACTGCAGCCTCACGCTACCCGTGATATCAAAGGCGCGAAAATTAAATAAACTATTTGGTATCATTTTGATTATGGAATATGGAATACGTGTGCTTCAAACTGTTTGCTTGGAATTATTTGTAGCTATCGTCTATCTGTGCATGCTACTCAGTTTCCCTGAGAAAACCGTAAAGTGTTGTGTAAAGCGATACCGTAAAGTGTTGTGTATTCGCGCACACAAATTCATAGAAAACTGAAGATGGCTTGAAAGCGTTTTGCGAGTGCCAGCTCGCTTGACCACATTTTTAATAA